TGAGTGCACCCGTGTCATGCAATGCCATGGAGGTCAGAAGAGGGCTTCGGATTCCCCTGGAACTGGAATTAAGGACGGTTCATAGCCGCCATGTGGGTGCTGAGACTCAAACCCGGGTCCTCTGCAAGAGTAGTCAGTACTCTTAACCACTGAGCCGTCTCTCCAGCCCCCAAAATAGAATCTTTTTTAAATACAAAGAATCAACAGAAGGAAGAGTTGGGTCTTTGGAAGATTTTCAAGACTGATAAAACTTTGGCCAAATTAACCAAAAAAGAAAGAAGGCCCAAATCAATAAAATTGGAAATAAAATAAGGAGCTATTACAGTAGATACTGAAGAAAATTAGGGAGTCATGAGGATATATTAAAAATGTGTTCCACTAAACTACAATATTTAAAAGAAGCAGATGAAATCCGAGATGTATACAATCTACCAAAGTTAGATGAAGATTAAGTAAATAATTTAAAGATACTTATAACAAAGTAATTAAGTAAAGTAATTAAAGTTCTCCCAACTCAAAAGAGGCCAGAGCCAGAAGTATCCAGCACGGAATTCTATCAGAGCTTCAAAGAAGGTAACATCAATATTCCTTAAATTATTCCATAGAACAGAAAAGGAAGAGACTTCCAAATTCTTTTTATGAAGCCAGTATTACCTTGACACTGAAACCAGATAAAAACCCAGAAACAAGAAAAAGAAAATTATAGACCAATCTCTCTGATGCATATCAACTCAAAAATCTCAATAAAATACTTGCAAACCAAATTCAAGAACATAATGAAAATATGATACATATGCACAATGTCATATTATTCAGCTGTTAAGAAAACTGAAATTATGAAATTTGCAGGTTTGTGGATGGAGCCAGAAATAGTCGTTCTGAGTGAGGTAACCTAGACTCAGTAAGACAAGTGTTTCATGTTCTCTCTTGGGGGTGGATGGTAGTTTTGAATCTTCAAATATATCTGCTTAAACTGGAGTTACTCAGAGAAGTCAGAAAACCGATGAGGGCCATGGGTGGGGGGTGTTTATGAAGAGGAGGATAGAACAGGTGGTATGAAGGCGGAAAGGGAACAGAGCGATGGAGCGAGAAGGGCTAAGTGTGACGGAAGCTGGAAGGCTGGGAAGAGAGGGGCATATGGAGAGGAATAGCTAACACCAAATTTATGTATTTGCATTTTGCTTTAAGTGAAATAGAAAAAGCTCCAGGTTAGGCCCACCAGAACAATAAGCTGTGTAGATACTACCATAGGAAGAGAAGTGCAGCACATACTGAAAAGTAAAACTACGTTATTGAAAGAAACGAAAGATCTAGACGTATGCAAAAATACTGCATGTTCACTTGTTGTTAGACTCAACATTGCTCAGTTCTTCCCAAGGTGATTCAGTTCTTAGTAAACTCCAGGTGACATTTTATGTTCTTGTTATTTCTTGGTAATTTGCTTGTTTTGTTTTTAGCAGGAGTAGTGAAGCATATTCTAAAAGTGATACAGAAATGCAAGGGATTCTTAATAGAGAAAACAATGGAGGCCTCAGGCTTGGCTAAGTGAGCTCGCAATCAGGCGGATCAGATTCCTTGCATCAGTGTGTGCCCAGCGTGTGGGGAGATTCAGCTGAGCTGGAGGGGTCCTCTCAGCCCTTTACGGGCATCTGGAGGGGGAGAGGGTGCCGTGGTGTGTGGTGAATCTGTGAAGTTCTGGGATCTAACACACTGATCCAAAGAAACAGTCAACTGACTTTAAAGACCTGCTTTTTACTGACAAATCATTATACACATTTATAGGGTATAGTGTAATGTCTTGATATATATGCACATATGTATTATAAATTGTCACACCAGAGTGGCTAGCAAACTCATTTTAAATATTTATCTTCTCTTTGTAGCAAGGACACTGACTTCTAGTTATTTTGACAGATGCAATATACTAGACACACAATTTCCATGTATAGCTAATAGCTACACAACAGAGCACCAGAGCGACCCTCTTAGTAATGTAACACTGAGCCAGTTGACCAATTTCAGTCCTTCATGCTGCCTTCAGCTCTGACCTTTGCCTCTGTAAGGCTGTGGAAATATTGTCCTTGGTCTGATAGTGCATAGTTCTGTGCTTATCTGAGCAAATAAATTGCCTGTAAAATGAATTCAGTTCTCATAAAATACACATCTTATGTTTTGTTGCCTTTAATGGTGTAGTTCTGTACTTCCTGTTGACTTTCATAACCTGCTTCTCTCAGGTTTTGGCATGCCTTATATTTTCATCAGAAGATGACCTGACTGGCATCTAATGCAGACAAGTCCTGCTGCCCTTCCTTACGATAACAAATGTTTTCAATTAATCCAATAATAAATTAGCTTCATTTAAAAAGTCAACTTTTGGAGTAATTAAGTACATGTAAAGGAATGCCATTTTCAACATACTTTAATTGACAAATGGTCTTCTGGCATGTTGTGGCAAACTAGGGCATGTCATACTGTGACACGTGGCACATTGTGACATGTTGTGGCACATTGTGGCATTACCATGGCATATGGTGACATGTTGTGGTACATTGTGATGTTTTCTGTTGCATGTGGAAATGTGGGGAACATGAGCAGCATGCGGCTCTACCACAGTCTGAGACTTGCCTGTTTCTGTGACTTTGATATTTTCATACACCTTCCAGTTCTTTTCTTACAGTAGCAAACGCCCTGAGCCGAACTCCTTTGATTGAATCATTTCAGATGAACAAGCAACTGGATTGTGTGCTTTCATCCCTGATCCCATGTCTTTTGTGGGACGATTTTTCTTCATTATATTTTCTAACAAAATGCTTATTTTGCTGGTAGTTCTGACTGCTTGATTTTTAAAGAATTTGGTTGTCTAACTTATTTCTTTTGTTTGATGATGCCAAGTTTCCATTGATTTTATTTTTCTCAATATTCTTAATGATTGTATATATGTCTTTTAACAGAATTATTTCTATTTTCTAATTGATAAAGTAGATGAGAACAATTCCATCCTGTGTAGATGATGTGGCAATCTAATCTAGTAGTAAGATGATAACAATACCATCTTGTATAGATGGTATGGCAATTTAATCTAGTTTATTTTTTTTAAGAAAAGAGGTAGGCCTCAGATATCTTAATAAAATTTTGTAACTATTTCAAAAATAGTTTTTTTTCTATCTGTAACCTGAAGAACCTATTATTAGACAATAATACAAAGTTTATGTCTCCTAATTAGCAATTAGTAGAAAGAGCCAGTGTAACCTTGACTTTATAAGATTAAGTATACACAGAGAGATTATACTACATGTCTGTCAAATAAGTTATATATTATGGGTGACTACATTTTATAAATGGCTGTTTATTTAGAGTACATAGAAGTAGACCTGTCACAGTGGCACATGCCTTTAATCCCAGCACTCAGGAGACATAAGCCGGTGGAACCCTGTGAGTTCGAGGCCAGCCTGGGTTACAAAGAGAGTTCCAGGCCTGCTGGGGCTACAGGGAGACTCTGTCTCAAAAAGATAAAAAAAAAAGTATGTAGAAGTATACTGAGTATAGATATAATTTAGAGATAATTACATATTGTACTTTGGGTCATAGGCACAAAGATTAGTAAACACTTTTGAGTCGAATTTAATCGTTACTCAACTGTAATATTTAAGTTTCACATTTTTGTAATTCAAATCACAAGTGTGATTTGACCATACTTTTATAAAAAGTTAAAAGGTACTCTCACATTTTCAGATAAAAGCACACCCTTGATTGTAAAACGTCGTGGCACTTATAAAAAAGGACTTTTGATCAGTTTCTACATTTTTCTGCCTTTCCTCCTTATTATTGCCGTCATTGTTGTTAAAAGGAGGACATCAAAGAGATTCTGGCACAGAGAAGCTTTAAGAATGTAAGTAACAGATTAGTATTTAAAATGTGCCATGGAAAGTGTTCGAACGTGGTTAAGTAGAGAAACTCAGCTTCTTGGATGGGCGGCTGCTTGAGCGAACGGGGAGAACAACTCAGAACAAGGTTTCGGAGCACAACTGGGCTGCTTTCAATTTTCAGACAAGCATCCTCCATGTCCCCCTGAGCCCAGGACAACTGAAGCTACTCAGTAAACCTTCAGTACCCTTCAGCTAAAAGACATGTAATTCATTTGGAAGGTTCTGATGTTTTCCAAGCAACCCGAGTCTCCTCACGTTGGAAGTCATTTCAATGCCCAGGAGATCAACAGAGACAGGCTTTGGAGCAAATTTTGTGACTAGAAATACGAAGAAGAAAGGAAAGTAAGGGCAAGAAATCAAGTGTCTGTGTGCTTCTGACTTATAATCAAGGTGCTGTGCAGTCCTTGCTCAGCCATGACACCCATACAAGCCGGGGGAGACTGGGGAAACAGGGAGCTCTTTTGTCCTAAAGGAAAAGTGTGACATAAAATTTCCAGCAACATCTCTGTTTCTCAAATTAGTAATTATTGAAGTGTAGCAGCAACTAGTTAAATTCAGGGCAGTGTTCTAAATGATTTATGTAAACAGCTAGAAAATAATTGAGTTATTATAAAACCACTTAATTATGTGGTAATTGGTGTAAGTCTTCCTGCACAAAAATCTAGAGAATTGGCAGAAATTCAACTTTTAGTATTTATTTGTTTATTTTTGGTAAGGACTCATTGGTCAAAAATGACAAAATCACGTCAAAGTGGCTTAAGCTGTACAAATACAGGTGGTTCCAGGTCTGCACAGGGGAAAATGTGGCAGAGCTGAAGCTCTGAGGTGCGGCCCTGAGTCGGAAGACAACGAGCATCATCGCCCTCTGCTCCAGCCACTAACACTGGCTGCTCTGGCCGCCTTTGCCCAGCATATTCCCTCATTTTCAAGCAGATTACCACCTCTCAGGTCATAAATAATGAATTCTTTATAGTTACTTGATAGAAATATAACTACAGAGACAGGAATTTGAGATGTATATGTAAATTTATACAAATAAAGAGAACTATTACAACGAATATTTTAATACCTCATCCCATCTTCCACGTAGATAAGAGAGATCGAAATAATGGCTGGGTTGTTGCTTTGAAATGTTAAAATGAAAAGGTTTTCATATCTTTGGTAGTTTGGTAGCATTTGAAAAAGACCAAGTGCTAGAATGTAAGATGTTTGCGTTGGATATCAGCTGCGAAGAAGGTGCTGTGCTGGTGTATAGTAATTGATTATTTAGCATAAATTAAGCTTTTGTCATTTTCTTGATTTCTCTCACGATTACAATATTTTATAGGCCTAAAACAATCCTATCTCTTTTATACAGATCTGTAACAGAAGACAGCAACAAAGTCAGCAACCAGTCATAGAGTTAAAGGTGACTGAATAAATCAAATTATTTACAAAATGATGTAATTTATACTTTCTTTAAAAAGTACCTCATATGAGAAAACCATTATTCCCATGTTTCCTCATTCAGATTCCTGTGTGTCCGTTTCACAAGCTAAAATAAGACCAGTAGAAAGATTTCCAATATTGTATTTATGAACAGGCTGTTTGCGTGATCATTTAAGGATCTAGTTTACAAATTTACAAGTGATTTCTCCCCCAACATATATGTGTGTGTATGCATATATTTTTGTTATATATATATATATATATTCGTAATATATCTATATATTTCTTCCTAAGACTCAATGGTGATTGTTACCCTATTAGAAATTAGAAAATAGATGTAAGGAATTGAAGCATTTCTTCGTGTTTACAGACTATCAGTAAGTTGTAGTCTAGGCAACAGTCTTGAGTTTAAACTGGCAGAACCATTTTAACACATACACCCTATGATATAACCAGAGATGAGAGGCAGTCCTTACACTGATGAAGGACCAGGAAATATGCTAAAGGCACACTTCCTGCGAAATAGAAAGGCAATTCTTTACCATAAGACAGGGTAAAAGAAACATGCATTATATATTATACAAAATTTCTAACCACATGTGTGAAATTGTCACCAAGTATCAGGGTGGGAGAGGCACAGTGACTCAATTTCTTATTTTAAAATTTAAACATCCCTAGATCAATCTTATTGCCCCATATCTTGGCTATATGTTCAATCTAGATACCCACACTATACCAGAGTTATTGATCAAGGCTCCCAACTCCAACCTGTTGTGCCCAGAGAACGGATCCCCAAGAATTACCGTGGAGTCCAGAGAGCATGCAAGAACAGAGTCTTTATTCAGGCTTAAGCTCAGACTCTCAGACCAAACTAAGGTGGTAGGTTCTTCTGAGAGCCCCGATTGCGGTGGGGAGGGGTGATTTTCATAGGTTTCAGACAAAGGAGGAGGGGAATGACAGAGTTATATTTTGATTGGTCCAAAGAACCCATGTGTGCCAACATACTTTTGAATTGATTGGTTACAGTCTTGGAGACCTCTCATTGGTGGGTGCTGCCCTCAGGGCTGTGGAATATGCTGACTGTTATCTTCAGGGCTAGAGGATCTTGTTTATTCCTTATAAGGCCTCAAACCTGCCCGGGCCCCCTGGACATCCCAGGCTTGCCTAGTCTATGTCCATGAGACATCACAAAAATGGAGGAATCAGCAGTCAAAATGGTTCCCTCAAGCCAAGCGATTTACAGAAGCGAAAAGAGCAGTTAGTCCTAAATAGGGGCAGGGGTCTAGGGAGTCCAGGGGAGGGGGCCAAGGAGGAGGGTTCCACACAACCCACAGACACATGGCTGACAGAATTATCCAAGTGCATCTAACTGGTAGCTTTCCAACACATGAAGGCCCCAACGAGGAAAAACAAAACAGAACAGAATGCTTGATTGCTAGCAAAGCAAGGATGACAGTTTGCCAGGAAACTGTTACAGGGGGAGTAATAAGGCCAGGTGCATGAAACTCATCGGGTGCTTAGAGGCTCTCTCTCTCTCTCTCTCTCTCTCTCTCTCTTTCTGAGTCATTGGAAGATTTAAATTTCAAACACATTCTTTACAAGTTCAAAGCTGGTTTTTTCGTTTGTGCTTGTTTTGTTTTATAAACATTCTATTATGGCAGTGTGATGCCACATTCTGGCAATGTCTGAAGAAAGACAGCCTGGTTCTTGTTCTTAGCATCCATCTAAACCAAGAGTGGGACCTGAACTGTTCTGAGAACTTTTTCCTTCAGATTTCTCCAGGAACTCTGCTCTGGAACAAAGACCCTGCTCTCTATTGACACAGTATATCCAAGCATGAGATGGGGAAGGAAAAAGCAGAAAGATTGTTTTTTTTCAGAGAACTTTTCCTCTTGGATCCCTACTGACCTAAGTTAACACACAGAAGCACAAGCAGATGCCATCAATGTAATCCCAGCATCATTTGCACACACACACACACACACACACACACACACACACACACACACAAAGGCCTAGTAAGCTTGTTTTACATTGAAAGCAAGCTGAGAGTGTTAAATGATCTCAGAACATAAGATAATTTTTTAGTTACGGGGTTAGGTATAAGTTATTTGTGAAAAAAGTCCTTTCCACAGGGTAGAAGTGGAGATAGCACCTCAGCCTTTCAGACAGTAAGGATATAGTACGGATAAGTTTTAGAGGTAAATGGATTTCCTTAAGAAACACTGGCAAAGGGGCTGAAGAGATTGCTCAGTGGTTAGGAATACTTGCTGTTCTTCCAGAGAACCCAGGTTCAATTCCCAGCACCTACATGGAAGCTAACAACGGTCCATAACTGTAGTCCCAGGGGATCTGACACTCTCTTCTGGCCTCTGTGGGGCACTGCATGCATGTGGTGTACTCACATACATGCAGGCAAAACACTCATATACATAAAGTAACAAAGTGGTTTTTTTGAAACACTGACATAATGTTTATTGATATGGATCAGGAAGAAAAGACCAGTTTTTAATTTTTAAGTAGCTCAGCAGTATGCTTGCCTGGCATACATGAGGCCCTGGGCTTGAAATGTATAGACCCTCTCTGTATCGTTTGTTCTTTTAATAACTTTTCACATTGATTTTCAGTTTATGAATGATGAAAGAAGCAATCTGCAAAGCCAGCCATGAGCTGGCAGATTATAGCATGCCATGAGGAGGGATTTCACTTTTCATGTATGAACAGGGATAGTGTCAAAATAGTTCTGAAATAGTTGAGAGTAGGATTATCCTGGTTTGGTTTCCATAAATTTCTCAGCATAAAGTAGGAGAAAATGAACAGCAAAGATGTGAAAGGGGCAAGAGTTGGTAACAGAAAAGAGAGAAAAGAAGTTTTGAGAGACATGATTGGGTTACGCTGAGAAGCGTTAACTCGGGGTTTAGAAGAAAAGAAAGAATCTCAAAGTCCTCAAGATTTGGGCAGAATGGATAGAGATACTTTTGCAATGATAAATTCTCACAGCTGGTGAGACCTGGGTTGGTGTTTGAGTGAAGATGTGGAGGAGAGACAATGTGTTTGATCTTTGAACTTTGTAGGGAGGGCAGCAGGGGGTGCACAGGGGGCTGGAAATGGCATCTACTCTGTAGATGACGAGTAGGCAAGACTGTGTCTTCAACTTCTGTTTCCTGTTGATGATTCTCCTTTGCTCATGTGAAGTTTAGAAAAATGGAACTGAAACATATAAACCTCATTTGAGAGCATTTTCTTTTGCACGACAGTCATTGAAAAGAAGCTGCTTCATACGGTCCGTGGGTCACAGGCGCAGGAAAGCACAGTTCAGTCACTGTCTTACTATGTTCATTTACTGCATTAGTTACTACCCCTGTAGTTACACAGTAGAAATTGGATTGTGTTTTAATAATGATGACAATGTAGCATTTCTACTTTTTGTATTTCTTTTACAACAGCAATTATGTGATATCAAAAGCCACGTGGGAAAAGGATATTCTCAAGAAACTCACTCTTAAATGATCTGATGCAAGGAGAAACAGCTCCTTCTCTGTTTTTCCTGTGGATTGTGCACCAACCTCCAAATAAATACTGTGGCTGAAAATATTCAAAGTTGTTTCTGTTGATTCTTGTGTCTGCCAGGACCCTTTAGTAAGAAAGAAGCCCTGGACGTTAGGAGACTTGCTTTCTAAGCTGCAGATATCCCACTCTCTACCGCAGCTGAGCCTCCAGGTGCCGGTGGCCAGGTGCGCACACTGCCGCTTGCTCTGCTCCAGTCCCCCGAGTCCTTTGCCCTACCCATTCCAGATTTCAGGAGGCAGAGAGGGAGAGCTGGAGGGTCAGGCCAGTCCCTGCAGGCCCAGAGAGTCACTATTCTTGGTTTTGTTGCTTTTCTGGAGGCAGAGTCTCCCTGTAGCCTCAGCTGGCCTGGAACTAGCTATGCAGACCAGGCTGGCCTTGATCTCACGGAGATCCACCCACCTCTGCCTCCAGAGTGCTGGGATTAAAGACATGTGCCACCACCACTTCCTAGCTTGCAACCACTCTCTTTTAAAGCAGTTTCCTAAATTTCTGCTCAGAGGTAGGGATGAGGCTACTACATTCCTTGAAAACTGAAATCTTTGTCATTGGGTGTTAAGTCGCTATTTCCTCTCAGTTTAATCATTTCTCCAAAATGGAGAATGGAGGGTCATAAATTATGTGATTTAGGGAGCTAAGCAAATGTACAAAGCTCAGAAAGCTCACTTCAGAAAGTTGTGACTCATGAGGGCATAGAGTCCCCCCCCACACACACACGCAACTTCCATGAGTCTTCGCCCGCGCTGGGATGCACCTTCTGGTTGATGCAGCTGTGTGTGAGTCACCCACGCTCCTGTAAGTAGTGCAGTAACTGTTGGTTCACCAAGTTAGTCCTGGTGGAGTTGTTTGTAGTGTGGACTGAATTTCTGTTCCTTTGATGTCTGGGAAGCCCAACATTCCTGCCAACTGCTTCCATAACTGAACTTTTCTGCATGTGGTTTCCTTGTTACAGTCCCCCTGATTCCTGATCCCCTTGCAGCAGGGGATCATGGTCCACCTCTGCACCTTAGAACATTAGGCCTGAATTAGGAGACCATCCATTTACCTCAAAAGCTAGTCCAATATACATGTGTCATGTATTTGAGATGTCTAGAACAGGGACCTCAGAAGGGATAAGACTTAGTTTACCACTGTTTAAGGACAAAGTGTAGCCTGGGAAGGAAAAAATGGGGAGGGATGAAGACTACAGGACAAGTGTTTATTTGGGGGTAAAATTAATAATGATTGCACATAACCATGGCACACTAAAATCAATCACTTGTGCACTTCAAACCTGTGACTCCTGTGACATATGAACTGTCACAATACAGCCACTTAGAAAGTACAAAATGTTATGGTCCTGTTTCCCTTTTCTTTACAGCCACTAATATTGAACCATGATGACCATGTCTGTTTTATTTTCATACCAATCTCTTTAAAATATATTCATTTCTATTTGATGTGTATGAGTGTTTTGCCTGCACGTAAGTGCACCCATGTGTGCAATGCCTGTGGAGGCCAGAAGAGGGTGTTGGATCCCCTGTATTTAACTGTTGCAGTTGTTAGCTACCATATGGGTCCTGGGAACTGAACCCTGGTCCTCTGGAAGAGCAGCCAGTGCTCTTAACCACTGACTCATCCCTCCAGCTTCCTAGTAAATTGTTGTCTGGGTATAGCCATACATAGAAGACTGTTCTATCTGGGTGACCTTAGTTTACTTTTGTGGCTGCTAGCACACTCTGTGCAGGAGGGTGTGCTGCTGCAGTGCAGGAGGCTTGAGCTATATGGCTACTGGCGAACCGGCTTTGCAGACCTAAATGTTGCACTTTAAACTTTCCTTTCCCTTGTCTCTACCAATTACAAGGCAGTATTGTAAGAAAGACACAGGGGGGAAAAAGTGCTTTTTGATTGTCTCTCCAAGATCAAGTTCCACTTTTTTCCCTTGTTTGCCAAACTGAGGCAGCAGGCACTGTGCGTGATATTTCTAGTATGATTTTCATCATCTCCAAAAGAAATAAAACCTGCCAGAAAACCATGGAGAACAAAAAATTGCCAAAAAAGGCAAATCATGCGTTTTCGTCCTTTTATCCCTCCTGTGAGGGCCTCGCACTAGAAGTTGGCCCCTGGAAGCCGCTGGGCTCGGCCCTCCAGCCAGAACTGCTCAGTGTGCCTTCTTCCCCAGCTGCGCGCGAGCCCAACCGCCTGGCTGTCTGCGCCTGCCTGGACCATGGTCCGCCTCCTCCTCCTGCTCCTCCTCCTGGCTGAGCTCCCAGGGCTGCTAGCCCGCCTTGGTAAGTGCAGCCCGCCTGGAGTTCTTCCTCTCCTCCTTCCAGCTGCTGAGAAAGGCTAGGGTTGGGGATTCCCGAGGACACCCTCCTCCACCTTTCCCAGCCCCGAACCCTTTCAGGAGAACCCAGGGTAATGCCAGTGGCATCCACTCTGCCCTTGCGCCTGGACCCACAGCAGGACACCTCAACCAGCTGTGGGAGGTGAGGTGAGCGCATCCTGGGTAGAAGGATGCAGGTGCGTGTGTCCCGGGAGCTCAGTTTGCTCCTCAGGGCCGGACTTCAGCAGGACTCTGGAAAGGATCCGGATGACCCAGTCGAGCTAGACGTCTGAATCTCGGTGGTTTTCAAGGGGCCTCCGGAAATGTACTTAAAGTTGTGTACCAAGAAAGAGGCTGGGTTTGCACAGAAGCCTGACCCTGTTATCCCCCGGGTTGTACTCAGGAATGTTTGCTGGAGGGCAGGAGAGCTGGCTCAGCGGTGAAGAGCACCATCTGCTCTTGCAGAGGACCTGGGTTCGATTCCCAGCATCCACACGGCAGCTAACAACCGTCTGTACCTCCGGTTCCAGGGGACCCAACTCCTTCCTCTGACTTCCCCAGGCCCTGCATGACACGGGTGCAATCACATACATGTAGGCAATACAGACATACACGTAACATAAAGATAACAAAATACTTTAAAAAAGAGTGTTTGTTGGACCGAGGCCAACGCAGACAAGATAAACAAACCAAAACAAACAGGAAAACTCGTGTTCTTGCTGCAGATTCTCAAGGAGCATGCCTGCACCTCACGGTGCCACGCAAGATAGGAGGGAGCAGGAGCGGAGCTCGGGAAGGGAAGGTCAGTGCGCACAGCTGCGTCGTGCTTAAAGTTTGAAGGACATTTTGTTTGCCTTTGCGTTAACCCAGGTCCTAGTCGCCTGTCACCTCCGCGGGATTTTTTTCGGTCTCGTTGCTGTTTGGGCATCACGTCCTCTCTCTTTCTAGACTCCTCCACCTCTTATCAAATTTTTCTTTGACCTTTTATTTACTTACTTGTGTGCATGTGTGAATGTGTGCGTGTCCATGGCAGATTCTCTGCTTCACCACGTGGGACCCAGATGTCGAACTTGGGTCCTCAGGCTTGGCTGAAGGCACCTTTAGCCACTGAGTATCCCGCTGGTCCTCTTCCTTGTTCTTAATTTCAAGTAATGCTGAACACTTCCCAGAAATCACTCTGACCGAAAAAAGTCATTACAAAACAGATCAATGGGAAATGCACATGGCAATGACCCAACATGCAATTATCAGTTTTGTTCATGGTCGCTCAACTAGAAATAAGTTGGTTTTCTTAAAGAGAGGAATTATTTTTTAAAATTCCATATTTGGCTAATTATGATGAAAAAGGTTGCAATGTATAAATGTTATATGAAAAGTAGTTTGGAAAATGTCTGATGGGTTCCAGGTAAGCAAGATCACAAGACCTTTGTAGGAACAGTGACTGAGAGAACATGAAGCCACTGCATTTGTTATCGTGTGTGTATTTCTTTGTAGATGTTTTGGAATTTTATACAAAGCCAGTCATCATATCTGCAGGCAGGCTTCCTTCCTGCCCCTTCATCCCCTCCTTTCTTTTTCTTGCTCAAGTTAGGATCTCACCAAGTAAGTCAGGTTAGCCTTGAACTCCGCAGTCCTCTACCTCAGCCTCTGTCTGGGACCACAGGCATTTGCCACCACACCAGCGACAGTTTTACTTCTTATTTTCCCACCTAATTCAATGTCCGCACTGGGTTTAAAGTTCTTAAGATCATCTATTCTGTATTGGATGAGCTGTAACATGTATGCAACATGAATCAATTTCTTTTAATCGCAGTTAGCTGTGTAAACTGTGTGGGTGATGGGGTAGTGTTGTCTGTTTGCCCTCTGGTGTGGGCATGTCCACTGGCATCACTGGTTTAATTTCTGAGGTTCTAATTGGCATATTTTTCATTTTTTGTTAGATTTGATGGGATTTACCCATCCAAAGAAGCAGGTTTGGTTTAACATTTTGTTGCTGTCTTTGTTTCAAGTCTCAGTGATCGCTCCATGTTGCACTTGCTTTGACTTTAGGTCTATTGTTCTTTGAGTCCTGGTGTTTTCGCGATGTCTTTCAGTTGTAATCATTCTGTGCTTCTCTCTGGTCAGAGACCTCAGTGTTGAATGCACTCCCCCCGCCACCCCAGCTGTATAGTCTGTCAACTGGAACAAATGTGTGATGCCAGGTTCGGCACTAGACAATCCCTTGTGCTTGGCCCTGTTTTTCCCAAACACCCTGGCAGGCTTCATCTTTGCAATTTGGCCTTTTCTAGACCGTGTTGCAGTTACGTTAGTATGGTCTATAGGCTTTTCAGATTTTTTTTTTTTTTTTTCACTTAA